CTGCACTTCTCTCACCCCGTGGATCCCACCTCCAACCCCATCTCAACACACCACCCGTCCTATGCACCAACATTCCCTTCCAGGCCCTCAGCTCTGCTCTGGATGGCCCCAGGATCCTGCCCCCCAGCTCCCATCCCCTCCCCAGGTGACACCCACCATCCCCGGAGCCTGATTCAGAGAGCACATCCTCCAGGGAAGCCCGGGTGCCTCGGGATGAATGAGGGGCGTCCCATCCCCTCCCTCCTTGTGGACCCTTCAAGGTCAAGCATCTATCAGCAGAGTTTCCTGGTCTCTCCCCGCAGGCTGTAAGCTCTCAAAGGCAGCTCTCCATCTTCCTCACCTGTGTGCCAGTTTCCCCGCCCCCCAGCTGTCCCCTGGGCGTCTGGCACACAGGACCCCTCCATCAGTCTTTGCAGAGAGAAGGAGAGAGCTGCCCTAATGCACCAGATGTGGCTCTGCAGACACAGAGAAGGCATCCGTGCTCTGAGCTGGGCACCCAGGCCCACCAGCAAGGAAGCCAGAGGATGAGGCTGAGTGCACGTCCATGCGCGGTGAGACCGACGGGGCTTCCTCATACACTATTCCCCACTATGTTTCATCGGTTAGTACCGTAGGGAGGAAAAAGAAATTTGCAACAACACAAGCAACTATGGCACTGACCACTTTTTTTCTAATCTGCAGACCTAACACACTGCTGCTAATGTGCTCAGTCATGTCTGACTCTTTGCAACCCCATGGACTGTAGCCTGCCAGGCTCCTCTGTCCATGGAATTTTCCAGGCAAGAATCCTGGAGTGGGTTGCCATTCCCTTCTCCAGGGGATCTTCCCGACCCAGGGATCAAACCCACATCTCCTGCATCAGCAAGCAAGTTCTTTACCACTAGTGCCACCTGGGAAGCCCAAACATACTGGGGTGAAGTGTAATTCTTAAATGACTGGAGAAGGAATCTCAGCGAGGTTTGAGGGAAGGGCGTTTAAAGTACAGTGTTTGATGTTAGGAAATATATGTAGGAAGCTGGATGACTCAGAAGAACCTTGGAAGTCAAGGATACAGACATTTTAGAGTGGTAAAGAAATGTATTTCAAACATCCTATGTAAAACCAGCCATAATGCCAATCCTCACCCCACCCTCCCACATGCAGACAGCACATGATAACAGGTCTGATATAACTGATCAACAAGGATAATTATTTCTACAGCCTATGGGTGACAGCGAATAACAGGAAAAAAAGTCGTTAAGGATTCTGCAGGTGGGTTTCACCACCTGGGACACCTTAGTTTAACATGTCAGCTACTATGTTTTCACCCTTGGGATTCCAAATGTTCTGAAGATCGCTATGTTAGCAGGGAGGGATGGAAATGAGAAAAAAATCCTTTGAAAACAAAATGAATATCTGAGGAGTTACTCCCTCTTCTGGCTAAAAAAAAAGTTTCTTTTTAACTTGTCATATTTAGGAAGTCAGTAGATCTGTGCTTCTCTAAAGAACATTGGATGAGAAATGCAGAAATATACCGTAGAGAAGTTAGAAAGCATAGATAAAAAAGAACCAAAAATTACTTAAATATTGTGACTTAAAAACACATTTAATCATTACCCATCACAATGTTTTCTTTCCCTTGCCCAGACATTCAAACACTCTGTTTATCAGGGAGCCTAAGAGTAGCTCCTTCTATTACCCCTTTTGTAGCCTACACTGGGGCAATCACAATCTCCCACACCAATGAATCCACACGTATTCAGAGGAGCTTCAACAATGCAATTTCCCAGTCTAGTCATGATCACCACTTGGTGTTCTGAGGGTGTGTAACTGGGTTTGTGTGTGTAAAGATGTACAGTGGAGACGCCAAGAACAGCAGACGTCACCCAAAATCAACTTAGTTTTAAAACACCGTATGCAACACTGGTTCATTTATATTCTCAAATAGATTTTTGCTTAACCTCTGTTAAAATAAGTCTACAATCTGCCTGCACACACTAATCGACTGGGAAAGCAGCCCATAATCAGTGGCTCTGCACAACACGGACAGAGCCAGGGGTGAACCAAGGGCCCTGGTGACCATGGTCCACAAAACCTGCACGCGGGGCTCCCCTCGCATCACGTCTTCCCCATTCCTCCACCAGGGGGCAGGGCGCCCTCCAGCTCTCACCACACCTTCCCCTCTGCCCCAGCTGGGAGCAGGGCACCGCACCTTCCCCTATTCCCCACCAGGGGGCAGGGCGCCCTCCAGCTCTCACCGCACCTTCCCCGCTTTCCCAACTGCGGGCAGGGCACCCCACTGTTATCACACCTTCCCTTCTTCCCCACCAGGGGGCAGGATGCCCTCTGGCTCTCACCACACCTTCCCCTCTTCCCCACCAGGGGACAGGGCACTGCACCTTCCCCCCTTCCCCAACTGCGGGCAGGGCACCCCACTGTTTTTTTTTTTTCCATTTATTTTTATTTGTTGGAGGCTAATTACTTTACATCATTGCAGTGGTTTTTGTCATACATTGACATGAATCAGCCATGGATTTACATGTATTCCCCATCCCGGTCCCCCCTCCCACCTCCCTCTCCACCCAATCCCTCTGGGTCTTCCCAGTGCACCAGGCCCGAGCACTTGTCTCATGCACCCAACCTGGGCTGGTGATCTGTTTCACACTAGATAATATACATGTTTCGATGCTGTTCTCTTGAAACATCCCACCCTCGCCTTCTCCCACAGAGTCCACAAGTCTGTTCCATACATCTGAGTCTCTTTTTCTGTTTTGCATATAGGGTTATCGTTACCATCTTTCTAAATTCCATATATATGTGTTAGTATACTGTATTGGTCTTTATCTTTCTGGCTTACTTCGCTCTGTATAATGGGCTCCAGTTTCATCCATCTCATTAGAACTGATTCAAATGAATTCTTTTTAATGGCTGAGTAATATTCCATGGTGTATATGTACCACAGCTTCCTCATCCATTCGTCTGCTGATGGGCATCTAGGTTGCTTCCATGTCCTGGCTATTATAAACAGTGCTGCGATGAACATTGGAGGGCACCCCACTGTTATCACACCTTCCCCTCTCCCCGACCAAGGGGCAAGACGCCCTCCACCTCTCACCCCACCTTCCCCTCTTCTCCACCAGGGGGCAGGGCGCCCAGCTGGATACAAGTCCTCAGATGTCTGATGCTGCAAGACTTGCTAGGGAGATTCCACTCCCATATTAAGAAATCCTTGTGGAATAGAGAGGTCTTGAAAAAATCATTTTGGCTGCCAATGAAACATTTCAGACCAAAAGGCTATATCCAGGAACCCAGAGTCTTTCCCATGGCCAGGGGTGTAATACGGTCTTTACCCCATTCATTCATCTTTTGTTTACTTGGTCACTCATTCCATAAACGTTTGAATCTGATAGATCGCCACATGTGAGACCCTGTGCCCATGGCAATGACAGGGCATCATCCTCTGCTTCAGGAACCCACCTGCTAGGATGTGCCCCAAGGAAGCCATGAAAAATGAGTTATCCTCTTCAGCAAGGGGAGCACCAACAGGTGGAGGAAAGGGCTTTCCCTTACCTTTCACACAAGTTCCACTCTCCTCCTGATGCACCAGACCTTCCCCCAGACGACCTCACTCGACGCCGTCCTCCTGGTCCCCGCACGCCTTTCAGGTCACCTTTGACTTGCTGCCTCCTGCCAGCTGGCCTCTCTGCTGAGAACTGACTCCTCCACTCTTGGCTCCTCCCCCTTTGCAAGTCCATCTCCCTGGATGCTCTCAGTGGGCTTCCCTGGTCCTCACAGGACTGAAACTCCACGCTGCACTCCATCACCCTTGGATTACCGGTATCCAGAATACTCTGTGGCACATGGTCAGTGCTCAGTAAATACCTGTTGATAAGCTGATTGTGTGTGCCCGAAGATGCTTGGATGCATCAAGGTGAAGAGGAATGGAGCAGCTTGTGTGCTATGCTGTGCTTAGTCACTCAGTCTGACTCTTTGCGACCCCATGGACTGGAGCCTTCCAGGCTCCCCTGTCCATGGGGATTCTCTAGGCCAGAGTACTGGAGTGGGTAGCCTTTCCCTTCTTCAGGGGATCTTCCCAACCCAGGGATTGAACCCAGGTCTCCCACATTGCAGACGGATTCTTTACCATCTGAGCCACCAAGGAAGCCAGGGAACAGCCTCAGAAGTGCAAACATGTGCTGACCCATTGGGAACAGGTGGGTGAGGTCAAGGTGGCGCTGGTCCAGGGAAGCACTGGATCTGTGAGGGGCATTTAAGGGCTTCTTTCTCAGGGGCTCCAGGTGACCCACACAGCAGCATCCCCCCCACACTGGGTGTGGACACTCGTCTGTCTGCCCCACTTGTCTAGCCCCATCAGCTGACCTTGTTGGCATCTTGTTCATCTTGCCCATCTGCTCTTTTCTCCTCACATTGCCTTTTCAGGGGATGTCTGGTCTCACGTGCATAGCATTTGGCCCCGGTTTCTGCTCTGACTACCCCCAGCCCACCCACAACTTCCGTCCTCAGCTTTGGGGCTGACCCTCCTTTCTGTATCACTGCTCTTCTCTGTTGGACGTCACGGGCCACCGTGAAAAGTGCACAAGTTCAAGGAGACTAGAGAGGCCTGGACTGGGGAGCATCCACCTGTCCCTCTGGCTCCACTTCATTCGCCTGGATGAAGCCGTCAGGGAGGGGCTGAGTTGTCACAGGTGTGTGCCACAAGGACACAGAAGTTCTTATTTTATTTTAAAAGATCGACCCTCAAAGGCTCTACTTGAGTCAGCCTTCTCAGAAATTTTTCTCCACTAGGAGACAACAGAGGGACATCTTTCATTCTTTCTCAGAAAAAATCTGCAAAACATTATATGACAAGTCTTTAAATAGTCCCTGACATCTGTTTTTTGCCATCTTGTGCTTCATGGCTGGGAATCCTTGAACGTTTCAAGTGCAATGTCTGTGCTGCTTGAACATCATTGCTTGAAAGCTCCATGTGATAACCTGGGAAACTGCTGATTGATTTGAAAATGATGGTGTGGGCACCTGGTGGACCCCAGCACCCACATGGGGGTATGAATAGGAAGCAAGATCAGGCCCTGAGAGATTGCATTAGTCACTGATGCTCCCATGTGACAAGGAAGTCCCTTCTAAAAAGGAGCCTCCTAAAAAAAATAAATAAATAAAATAAAAAGGAGCCTCCTCAGCACAACCAGAGAGAATCCCATTATACACTGAGATTCTGTAGCAAGATGAATGTCACTGGTCTGCTTTGTGACAAATTCATTTTTTAAATCTCCATTATTGCATCTCTGTCTGGCCACTGAGGGGTGAGTATATTGAATGTTAATGGTTTTGACAGAAAGAATCTGTCTTCATAAAGACCTGCTTTGATGTTTACCCTTGTTTAGAACAGTCATGGGGTCAGGGCAGAACCAACAGTGAGAGATGATTAGGACAAAACCCAAAACCTGGTTCCTTTTACTCAGACCCTATGGAACACATAAGATATATTTTACCTTATGGAATACTGGAATACTTCATCTAAAAGGCAGGACATATACACACCAGTTTTAGATTTCCCCCCAAGTGATAATGAAAAGAAAATCATAGCTATTGATATTAGTTTAGTGTTCATCGTATGCTATGTGATTCACACAGCAAACCTGACTGTCATGGAAATTGAGGTCATAGAAGCTTCACTGTTGGCCTGAGAGGCACCATGGAAACTGGTGTTAAATTCCAGTCCATCTGGGCCCCAGGTGGTGCTGCCTCTTCTGGCCCAGGAGACCCCTTGGGGATGATGCACAAAGGTTCAATGATGGGGCTGGGCAGGGAACTCATGGATGGGGCTGGTCTCACAGGACTAAGTGTTATTAGAGGAAGGGGTCCTTCAGCTTAGCTGATCATCAGCCCCATGTTAGACACTGATTCATGTTAACAATAGGAACACTTTCATCAGGAAATCCACATGGCCTGGGCTCAGACCCAGCTCCAGCACTCACAGGCTGTGTGATCACTCAAGGGCCATTCCACCTCTCCAAGACTCAGTTTTCCCATACATAGAGTGGGGATGTTCAGAGATGCTCCATGGACACCTTTAAGTCAGGTAAAGTATGCTATATAATGCCTGGCACATGGCCATCAGTTAGCAAGTATTAGTCACAATTATTTAATTCTGTTCAGCAGCTGTTAGGGATGTAGAAAGGCACTAAAGATGAGCTACATGGAGTCACTCCTTGCAACAGAGCCATCTGATGGCTTTCCATCTCAGTCTGAAAGCCAAGGTCCTGAGCATCACCATTAAGGCTGCTACCTGATCTGGTCCTTCTCGGATCTCGTCTCCTACTACATACGCCTGCACTCACTCCTTCCAGCCACGCAACTGTCCTTAGTGTCCTTGAACACAATAGCCACACACTCACCTCAGGGCCTTTGCACTTGCTGTTCCCTTCCTGGAAGGCTCTTCCCCACATAACCAGAGGGCTAGCTTCCTCACCGCCTCCATATCTTTCATCGTTGTTAGGTCACTAAGTCATGTCCAACTCTTTGTGACCCCATGAACTGCAGCATGCCAGGATTCCCTTTCCTTCACTATCTCCCAGGCCTGCCAGCAGGAAAATGAATCAATGCAGAGGGAAACAGAAGACCGAGAGACTGATCTAAGGACTTCTTCTGAGCTCCGTGGCTTCTAGCCATGCTTGAACAAAATCACAATCACAAGCTTTTCCATTTTATCAGTGAATTTGTTGTTGTTCAGTTGCTAAGTAATGTCACACTGTTTGTGACCCCATGGACTGCAGCACGCCAGGATTCCTTGTCCTTCACTATCTTCCAGAGTTTGCTCAGACTCATGCCCATTGAGTTGGTGATGCCATCCAACCAACTCATCCTTTGTGGTCTTTCCTCCTGCCCACAATCTTTCCCAGCATCAGGGTCTTTTCCAATGAGTGGGCTCTTTGCATCAGGTGGCCCAAGTATTGGAATTTCAGCTTCAGCATCAGCCCTTCCAATGAATATTCAGGGTTGATTTCCTTCAGGATGGACTGGTTTGATCTCCTTGCAGTCCAAGGGACTGTCAAGAGTCTTCTCCAGCACCTTCTATGTAAGCCTTTTCCTTGACTATCCTCATTCAGACTGTAATATCTTACCATCTTATCTCCTGCTCCTGGCTTGAATTTTCCCCATAGGTATTTCCACTATCTGCTATACTCCGTAGCAGTGGGATACCATGGCATGCTGCCCAGTGGTCTTGAGAGCTGTGTTGAGTGTGAAGATTGTACTGTATTTGTTATCTACTGGTGTGTAACAAATAACCCCCAAACTTTGTACCTTAAAGTAATATACATTTCTCATCTCATAATTTCTGTGGCTCAAGACTTTGGGGACAGCTTAGCTACATGGTTCTGGGCCTGGAATCATCTCTTCTGAGGCTGTAACCAGGGTTTGGTGAGGGCTGTGGTCACTCAAGTCTTGAGGACCTGATCCCAAGTGGTTCACTCATACCTCTTTGCATGCCTTGGTTGCTTGTTGGCAGGAGACATAAGTTCCTCATCACGCAGGCCTCTTCATAGAGCTGTCTGAGTCTCTTGGTAATGTGGTGGTTGCCCATCTCCAGAGAGAGTGACCTCAGAGACACACCAAAGCAGAAATTGTAGTATCTTTTATGACCCAGCCTGGGAAGTCACATACCATCACTTCTGCCATATTCTGTTGTTCACAGAGACCAACCCTGACAAAGTGTGGGAGGGGGATGCATGGTGGGATGGTTGAGGGCCATTTTGGAGCTTGGCTACCACAGACTCACTCTTCTTGGTGTCAAAACCTTGCCTCAGCAGGGAAATGTTACTTCATCTTTCTGGATCCATGGCCCCTTCTATTAAGCACTAGTAAAAAGGCAGCATTTAGCAGTGCTTCTGTGAGGATTAGATAAAACAATACAGACTATTTCAGAAACATGTCTAGGACATAGTAAGTGAGCAAAAATACTAGTTTTGTTTTTTAGTCTAGGTTGTAGGCATAAAAGTGTTTTACACAGAGAATGACAAGACTGGATTATGATCTAGAAAGCTCACACAGACTGCTGTATTGAAAGTGTATTGGAGAGGCCAGCTTAAAGGAAGGTGTCCAGGGAAAGGTTCTATGACATGGGGGACATTAAAATAAATTAAAGTGGACAGATTTAAGGGCATTTTAGAAGTCACCTGAAAATTATCATACACATACTGTATTTCATTTGTATTCTTGACCTGTCTGGAATTGGCCACTTGAGAAAGTGAAGTTGGAAAACACCATTTACCATTTTTTAAGGCAAGGGTATTCTCCCACTCTGCTCTGGTCTGGATTTGTTGCTATGAAGGAGTAGGGGTAGAGTGCTATTGTTCCTAGGGATTTACCTTCCTGTAAGAAGACTGTATACATCCCTACCCCAATGATGTTGGACTTGGCCACATGGCTTGATTTGATCAGTAGCTTATAAAACATGACTTATACACGCTTCTCATCAGATCTCTCTCTTTTCTTCCTTCTGCTGAGACGTTAACGTGAGGCTGCTTCCTGAGGCATCTCAGGGTAAGGAAGACGTGTCCTAGAGCCACAGCACTCAGCCAGCCAATATGTAACTAAAAGAGATATCAGTCTCTGTAGCTGTAAGTCCTACAGTGTGAGGGACTGTTTGTTACCTAGCATAGCCTAGTGATAGCTGGGCAGTGCAAGGGTAAGTTTATTCCCCTAGCTTTCTAATACCATGATGGAACTCCCTCTACTAGTTCAGAGAGATCACACACACAATCTCTCTCTGTCTCTTTCTCTCTCTGTCTCTCTCTCTCTCTCTCACACACACACACACATACATACACACACACACTTTATATCTTCCTCAAGGAAGGCCCAATGACTAGTCTAGCTGATGAGACTTGGGCAACTGGACATCCCTTGGGAATGTTAGCCATGGGACAGAGTAGTCCACGTAAACAAGGGCATCATCATGGGCTTTGGTTTCTTTTAAATTAATTCCTATTGGAGGTCAGTTGCTTTACAATGTTGTTACTTTCTACTGTACTGAAAGGTGAATCAGGAATATGTATGTACATATCCCCTCTTTTTTGGATTTCCTTCCTATTGAAGTCACCACGGAGCTCTGAGTTCTCTGAACTATACAGTAATTTCTTATTATTATTTATCTTTTACATAGTATCCAGTTCAGTTCAGTTCAGTCGCTCAGTCGTGTCCGACTCTTTACGACCCCATGAACTGCAACACACCAGGCCTCCCTGTCCATCACCAACTCCCAGAGTCCACCCAAACCCATGTCCACTGAGTTGGTGATGCCATCCAACCATCTCATCCTCTGTCATCCCCTTCTCCTCCTGCCCTCAATCTTTCCCAGCATCAGGGTCTTTTCAAATGAGTCAGCTCTTCACATCAGGTGGCCAAAATATTGGAGTTTCAGCTTCAACATCAGTCCTTCCAATGAACACCCAGGACTGATCTCCTTTAGGATTGGATCTCCTTGCAGTCCAAGGGAGTCTCAAGAATCTTCTCCAACACCACAGTTCAAAAGCATCAATTCTTTGGTGCTCAGCCATCTTTATAGTCCAACTCTCACATCCATACATGACCACTGGAAAAACCATAGCCTTGACTAGACGGACAAAGTGATGTCTCTGCTTTTTAATATGCTGTCTAGGTTGGTCATAACTTTCCTTCCAAGGAGTAAGCATCTTTTAATTTCATGGCTTTAATCACCATCTGCAGTGATTTTGAAGCCCAGAAAAATAAAATCTCTCACTGTTTCCATTGTTTCCCCATCTATTTTTCACGAAGTGATGGGACCGGATGCCATATCTTAGTTTTCTGAATGTTGAGCTTTAAGCTAACTTTTTCACTCTCGTCTTTCACTTTCATCAAGAGGCTCTTTAGTTCTTCTTCACTTTCTGCCATAAGGGTGGTGTCATCTGCATATCTGAGGTTATTGACATTTCTACTGGCAATCTTGATTCCAGCCTGTGCTTCATCCAGCCCAGTGTTTCTCATGATGTACTCTGCATATAAGTTAAATAAGCAGGGTGACA